AATATGATACAATAGCTTTAGATTCCTATAATATGCTTTGATATCTCTGACCTATTTTTTAATTAATTGGAATATAAGATTTTAAAAGATAAATGATTTTAATAGAAATTACCATAAATATATAATAAAATAAAATTTGTCCTCTAGACTGTAAAGATTTGAATAAGATCCTGCTAATACTTGATCAGAGCCTCGCTGGATTTCCAAATGCCTAATTACAAAATGCCCAAAGTGTTCCGTGATATTTACAAAGTTCACTAATGAGAAATATTCATTTTGATTTTAGGGGCATATTTTCAAAGTTATGTAAGAGGATACTCCTTATATACCAGTGGGAACAAAATGCCTGCAACTTTCGCTTAAACATATTTTAGAATAGATACTTCCTATTATTAATCTGTAATTATTCTTATAACCAGTGTTTAGATAAGATTATATGCTGCTTTATCATGGTTTGGTTACTTTTTAATAATCTTATTGACAAGGTTCATCTGCATTCCTACCTTCTAATTTGTTTTCAGTTGGAATTAGTTTTTAAATATAAATTTTTTATCATCATTACTACTTGCAGTTTATGGCCAGTTGTAAAATTTTCCAGTGATTCAAAGTTGCTGGTGCCTGAAACAAATTATATTAACATATAGTTACTTATTTGTCTTTGTTTTCTAGTTTATATAAATACTATATACATATGATTATCACCCCTCCCCCAAAAATGACACTGGAAGTTAATTACTTTTGGCTCTTTATTCCACGGCTTTGTCTTAAACATAATAAAATAGTAATGTAAATTCACAATGATGTATAAATAGTGCCATCTATGATGGAGGATTAACAAAAGAATGTCTTTCATCATCACAGATGGTTGTAAGAATGAATTTCTACAGAACAAGTGCCCTTTTTATCTTTAAACCACTTTATGTTTAACAGGTTGTCGTAATTTTTATTTTGAAAGAAAATATTTTGCTCCTTTAGCTAGGAGGTAAGAAACATAAGGGGGGTAATTATAATGAGATTTAAATAATTCACTTACATTTCTATGCCAATAAAATAAAGCATGTTCTCTTAGGATTTTTAATAAGCTCTAAAATGTGTCTTTCAGTTTACTAATATTATTTTTTAAAACACACAATACTGTTATCTTCCCAAATCAGCTATTATTGTTTCCCAACAACAGATTTGGCAACCATTCAGAGGCAAATAGTATTATGCTTTTTAGATTTTTAAATATATCTGAAGTGCTGTTGACTGCTCTCCAAATCAGGTCAGATGCACTGTCTCTTCAGCAGCATTTGCCAGAGGTACTGTATGTTCAAATGGAAAATTTTCATGTTTCATAGTAAGCTTCATTTATTTTCTAAACCTCTAAATTTTTTATACTAAGTAGCAACATCTCCCTTTATGAACCATGGGATCTTTATTAATTAAACAGAGTCAACAGGGCTGATTTATTCTCTCTCTTATCAGCTGAATTACCAAGCACACAAATCACAGAGGAAATATTTTTAATACTAGAATGTTCTCCAAGCCGGTAAATCTGGGATTATCTCATCATACCGATTATGTCAAAGCTCTTTAGCCACAGTGCTCACTATGACATAAAATTGAATGGTATACACACAAATGGCCCTCTTCCAGCATCATAGGAAGAATTCCAAATTTTTCTTACAATAATCAGAAATCCCTAATTATCAATAAAACTAGCTATGATTATTTATTGTATAACTCCTCTCTGCCAGGCACTTTACATGCATTACTTGAGTTTCACAAGCATTGTGTCCCATTGGTTCTGGACATTTTTAACAAAGACCCGGGTCTGCAATGTGTGTTTGAAGCACAGAATATATCTCTCTGTTACTTTAGTTTTATTTCTTCTAGTAAGTAGCTGTTCTAATTGCATATTTGACGCTTAGGTGTGTGCATGTGTGTTTTTAGTCATGTACAAAAAGCATATTGTGAAGACAAGATTAATCAAGTTATAAGGTTAATCAAATTTTATGATGTAACTTTTATATTTGGAGTAGATCAGATGTTCATTTGTTGATTAAAAAGTGCTTAATGAAAGTTACTGGCAAGGATGACCATCTGGTAGAACTTTCTGATATTCACCATTCAGAGTCTGTAACTACATTTTTTTCTTAGACATTTTCCTTTTGATTATTTTAAGTTAGCAATTTAATGGAATGTTCATATATGGACAGATGTAATATTTCAAGCACGAGAATATGATTTATAAAAAGTCAAATAGCAAAGCATACTACCTGAACTTACCCTCAGGTAATTGCTCCTGTTTTTCCTCCTTCCCATCTCCTCCAACTATAGAACTTTATACTACAGAGAGATAGGAATTAAAATGATTTAAATTATAGTCTCTTCTTTGGACTAATATATTATAAATGTGCTGATAAACATTAAGGTATTAATATATATACCAATATTTTAAAATAAGCAAAGCTGTCTCACCAAGCTTTTTCCTTTTAGTTTTAAACATGTAGTTTGTACCCAGCGATGTGTCCTCATTTCACCTTGCAGTGGCATTCCAGCCCTCTCATGTTACACTCATTAGTATTTCTTTAAAACCACTTTCAAGTTAGGCAGCTTTCCAGCTTTATAAAGGCCTTGAAATGAAGTTAACCTGTGCCGAATCAAATGCTTTAGTAAATTTGGCCTCCATAATAAGAAATTCCATTAAACCATTTTAAAGAGATATTAGTAATGTGGATTATTGTCAAGAGAATAATGATTCTTTGTACACTAAACCACACTCTGAGCTTTTGAAACTATGAAGATGCCTGGGCCTTGTTACTTTCACCTTGCTTCTTAAAGAACTTGAACCCTTTTTATGCCATCATAAAACCGCTAGTAATCTTCTTTCATGAAAAGATACACTTAAAATTTAAACAGAGGAGCTGAACAATTTGTGTGTGGGGGATGTACAAAATATATATATAGGATTGAAAACAAACCAAACCAATAATAACAGTGGAACTTACCATTTGTACTGTCTAACATTTTCAGTATTGTAATCAGTGGCAAATAAAGTGAATGCATTTTTGTAATAGTTCCCAACTTGTGTTCTATGGAAGATTAGCCCTGTGTTTGTCAACAGAGATATGTTACTTTGAGTAATATTACATAGTCTTGGAGACTCATATAGCACAATTAGCATGTTAAAGTTCTCTGGGAAATCCTGTAGTAAAGAAACCTATTCAATTTTGTCAAACTATTTGACCATAGAATTATATTCTTCACATAATATTGATTAACTGATTGGTTGATTGAGACTGGGTCTTGTTCTGTAACCCAGGATGGAGGACAGAGTGTAGTGGATCATACCTCACTGCAGCCTCAAACTTCTGGAGTTCAAACAGTCCTCCCATATCAGCCTCCCAAGTCAGTCACTGGGATTATAGGCATGAGCCACTGTGCAAGGCTATTCTTTAAGTAACATTTATTTAAAACTCTTGGTAACATATTTTGGAAAATGTTACTTTATAATGTAGGCGGTACTTTCAGATTCACAATCTTAAGCCATCTTTATAAGTACTGGCCTTCAAATGCACTTGATCTAAGACACGATGCTGCTTCTGAGGTTGAGTTTGGGTAGGACGAAGGCTAGGGAAACTGATCTAGTATTGAAGAAGGAGTGGGGTAAACCAGGGCTAGAAAGAGTGTCCAAGGAGAAAAAACAAGTCCTTGTCCTAATTTGTGCACTCAGGAATTGGGAAGATGGTGGTGGACTTAGGAGATTCATCCAGCCAAAGGCTGGGAGTAGGATGCTAGGTGTAAGAAATACCATCACCCGGTTAAAAGCATGATTTTGTGATGTGTCACCACTTTCTAGACATACCTAATATCTTTTATACTTCTTTTCTCATCTCTGTTTATGTTATTTCTCTGAAACACTTTTTCAGCATGCTGGTCATTTGTTCTGAGAACATGTTAGGCCCCATAAAATCAGAGATAAGAAACATAGTTCCTGCCCTAAGGAGCTTCATATGTAGTAGGAAGGCCTAAAAGCAAATTAGCATTTATAATTTAATGTAATAAGAGATAAGACCATGGGCACAGATTGGAAGATTCTTAAGGGATGTTTGTTTTTTTAGAATTAATGAGTTAACTTCTCATGGGAAAGGATTATGGAAAAGAAGAAGATATTGTTGGCCGAGTGCAGTGGCTTACCCCAGTAATCCCAGCACTTTGGGAGGTTGAGGTGGGTGGATAACTTAAGGCCAGGCATTCCAGAGCAGCCTGGCCAACATGGCAAAAACCCGTCTCTACTAAAAATACAAAAAATTAGCCGGGTGTGGTGATGTGCACCTTTAGTCCTAGCTACTTGGTAGGCTGAGGCACAAGAATTGCTTGAACCCCAGGGGACAAAGGTTACAGTGAGCTGAGAGCATGCCACTGCACCCCAGCTTAGGTGACAGAGCAGGACTCTGTCTTTAAAAAAAAAAAAAAAAAAGATATGTTGAGGCAACTAAAAAAACCAAAGTATTTTATAGTAAAGTATGTGTTTGGTCCAGAAGGCATTGAATGTTTAGCAAGTGAGTAACAGTGTATGATTTGTCACTTAGAAAGTTCTTTGGCTGGAGTAGAGAATGAATTACAAAGAACTAAAGCAGAGGCAGAGAGGCAAACTATTTCAGTGACCCAGCCTATTTCACTGAAAAAGGAGAACAAGAAACAGATTCCAGAGATCCTACAGCAAGGCAATCATTGGACTTGCTGACTGACTGAATGTCAGACCCTGAAAGGAGAGGCGTTAGAGATGCTGCATTCACCTGCATTCGTTTTTAACCAAAGAAGAAAGAAAGAAATGGCTTTTGTAGAACCTTAAAATGTGTCTAAGACTTATTAAAACTATTGGATCTACTTCTAACTGCTTCCTATCACAGGGACTTTACTACAGTAGAAGCAATGTCACCAGGATCAGTACTTGCATGGATGAGTAGAAAGCCAGTCTTTAGGATTCTAATTGCATTCTTGTTCTTCTCAAGTCATGTAACACAGACTACATCCTGGATCCATCCTGTGATGAGTGTCCTGAATCTGTCTCGCTCAGAGGAGAATGAAGAGGATTGCTCTAGAGAACTCCCCGACCAGAAAAGTTGATGGTTTTCCTTAGGAAGTGGAGTTCCATGGTCATCTGGCATCTCAGTCTACATGGACGACGTGAGCAGAGACACATAACATCCAATTCTGAGATGCAACAGCCTAAAATAGGAGTGAAGCATACACTACTTGTTGAAGGGTAAAATAGAGTCTCTGGACTTTGGATATTTTTGTAAAACTTTTGATATTTCTGTATACATTTTTAAAAAAAATCGCCACTACAGTAGTTCTTTGAGAATAATCTAGTCATATTTTTTGAAATCACATAATTAGACTTTATAATATATATACTTTTTCTTATATAATTAGATCTTTCTTTGTAATTTCATATGTAGTTCTTCATAAGGTCTTGACATACTGAAAAAGTATATGAACATAATGAAACACCTCATTAATTTGATAATTCATTAACCTTTTATATTCATCTATTAGGAAAGTGATCTTAGCAGGCTTTTTGGAATTTGAGGATCACATTTAGACATCTGATGGGCTAATGAATACAGCTTATATCTTTATTGAGCTTTCTAATTTACCAAATGCTTTGCAGACCTCATTTTATTTAAACCATACAACATGCCTGTGAGGCTGATCTGGTGGGTATGTTTATTCTTGTTTTTCAGTAGGGAAGTAGCAGTTCAGAGAGAGGAAGCTCCCTGTCCGAGCACTGAGACCCACTCCTAAGTATTCTGATTCCACGTCCAGTCCCCTTCCCCCAACACCCTGCTGTCCCCACAGAGGGAGGTCACAGCCCATCATGCAGGGCACTGTGATTGTGTTGATGCAGCTGGCTCCACAGCTGTGCATTCCACAGAGATTCAGAAGGCACCTCTTCAGTCAAACATGGCCCCTCTATAACCTTACTATTCTTCTCCTATAAACCTTTCCCCTTTCTCAGCACCCAAGCCCCCAATAAGTAGGCAACCTGCATTGTTATATTGTTTCAACAGGCTTCTTTCAGCAGTTCATGTTTTTCTAAAGTCAGAGACGTGGTTTGCCCTGCTTAGGTTGCCCTTCCCAGAGCAATGGTTTGAGGGGAGCTAATGAGAAAAGAGATATCTTTTAAAACACTGCTGCTCTACTTGAAACAAGATGGAAGCCTAAAGCCCAAGTCAAGCAGCAACCAGCACTGCCGTGCAGTCCTAGAACTCCTTAGAACATAGTGTAAGAACCATCCATTGTAAGCATTTTATAGATGAGTAAATTGAGATCCTAGTCTCCTAGTCTACTGAATTTCATATGGTATATAATACAGATTTATGTGGTAAAGATATATATACATCGTGCTTAACTATACCTTCCTGAATACACTTAGGATTTATTATTTATGTCTTGAGTAATAATATAAAGTCAACTCCAGACTGATAGGTAGTCATTAGCCATAAAAATTGTTTCAGGATGGCTAGAGAAGACTTGTGTTTTGCCTGATAGCCATTTGAGGGTTAGGAAGCTTCAGGGAGAAAAGTATCGAGAGAAGCTCCACAGGGAGCTATTTCCTTGCACCACCACCCCCCGCCGCCAGAGGTGAATGAGGTATATGGTAGCCTCTGTAATTGTGAATGTGCAAACTTTTTGTTGTTGTCAAATTAATGGTATGAAATTTTTCTCCCCCTGCTTGGAGAATGTTCTAATTTGTTTCTAGTGAGCAAAACAAAGGAGGTGTTTGAGTCACTTGAAATCAGAGTACTCAGGCACCAGCCCACCGGCAGTGACACCTCATCTTGTCACTGCTGTTTTATACCACTTGCCTCCCTGTTTCTGTCGAATTCCTGGTGAAAAAGGCCTGAACAATTATAATGATATTATTTATTGAGTATTTTGTGCTGTACACTGTGATGAGCAGTTTGCATATATTTATTTATAATATTTTTAAAACCATTCCATGAAATAGAAACTGTAATTATTCCCATTTCTAAAAGAATAAACTTAGGTTTAGAGAGTTAGTAATTTTTGCTGAAGGATCACAAAGCACCTACGTGTAGAAGCTAGGGTTCAAGGCAGATCTGTGAGTCCACAACCTGTTCTCTAAACCACTATGCAGAGTTGCTTAGATTTATTGTCCGTGGGTACATTTTATACAAAGGCAGGTTCTATTTCAGTGCCATAAGGAACTTTCTAGTAGTTAAAGCTGATAAGGAAAGAATTCCCCAGGAGAAAATGGAAGCACTGGTTTTAGTCAATCTAAATTTTTTATTTGGGGGATGTTGCTGAGGAGGTTCAGTGTGTGAATAGACTGGACCAGTTGGCCACTCTCTCAGATTCCCTCTTCATAAAGCTTCTGTGACCTCTACACCAACAGGTAGATGCCATAGGAGATGCTCAAAGAAGAACCATGGTTGGGGCTTAGCAAGAATCCTTTTCTAATGCTAGGACCCTCAAATTATGTTTTGGCAAGTAGCCAATCTTTCTTTAACATCAATCAACCGTAGCAGCATGGTCATCATAAAGTCTTCATTGACTCACTGGCTTGGATTTTAGGGTTAGAAAATCTGAATGCTCTTATGTCCTTCCATCTCACTTTACTAGCGTGCCCAGATTTAGTCATCCTTACTCACTCATTCCCTCAAAATATTTATTGAGCACCAACAATGTGACAAGCACTGTGCTAGGTACTGTGGTGAAGTAGAACCGTTGCTAATAATTTCCCGGGTTCCACTTACTCTTGATTTTTAAAAAAACAACAAAGTTTTTGTGTGGCCAGAATGAAACAGCTTCTTCTTAAGTTTTGATTTTTTTTTTTTTTTTGAGACGGAGTCTCACTCTGTCATCCAGTCTGGAGTGCAATGGCCCACTGTCAGCTGACCGCAACCTCTGCCTCCCGGGTTCAAGCAATTCTCCTGCCTCAGCCTCTGAAGTAGCTGGGATTACAGGTGCATGCCACCATGCCCGGCTAATTGTTTTTTGTATTTTTAAGTAGAGACAGGGTTTCACCATGTTGGCCAGGCTGGTCTCGAACCCCTGACCTTGTTATCCACCCCACTCAGCCTCCCAAAGTGCTGGGATTACAGGCTTGAGCCACCTCGCCCAGCTGAATTTTAAAACTAATCCATTTTCTTTTGAAAAGAAATTAAGTACTATGGAAGTGAATAAAGTAAGAGATAGCCTGTCTTACTTTCTAGAGGTAGCAGTCACTAATACTGTGGTGAGTTATTTTATTCAAAGGAAATCACACTGTTAAGCAACTTGCTTTTGATTTGTTATGTTCTGGTCATCTTTTCATGTCAATACATAGATTAATGTTTTATTTCAAATGTCTACATAAAACATCACTACCCACACAACTCATAATTTGTGTGGCCAGCAATTTATCGAACACGAAAATGTTTTAAGTTTTCTTCTTACTGACAATGTCAGAGTGAACATTTATATATTCATTAAATCCTCTTCCATCTTTGCACTTTTGTGCTAGTATGTATATAGTGTGAATACATTCACAAATTTCTTGATCAAAGCTAGGTCAAAGTTACATTCATTTTAATTGTGGGAGATCTTCATAAATTCTCCTCCATAAAAATAGGACCAACCTGCATTACCACCAATAGTGTATATGAGCCTTTTTTTCTATGTATGGTAGGACTTTTTTTACTCCAAAGGTTGCTATAGATTTTCTGGGGGGTTTTTTGTCCTTGAAAGAATAACCTTCCTTCTACCAAGTTCAAGAACCTGAGTTTTTTAATTATTAAGTTTTAGATTTCCTTTAGCAGCAGAGACTGGCTTGCTGTATATAGGGAAGTCTAGCAGTGACTAACTCACTATATGTCAAACACATCATTGCTCTTCTCTTTTCCTACTTTACATGTAATGGTGGCAAGGACCAACTTTTAAAGAAGCTAAATTGGGTAAGAACCTTCAGTAAAGTACCAAACACATGCAAATGCATCTTCGAGTTCTTTGGGCCTCAGTTTCCCGATCTGATTAATGAGGATAATAATCCCTTGCTTTTCCAAAACCAGCTCAACTCAGCAAACACTTCCTGACCACCTACTAAATGCCAGGCAAAATGCGAAAGTTGTATTCTATGAGGCTAAATGGTACTGATTCTCAAAACAAGGAGTTCATAGTCTAAAACCATTTTTTCTTTCTTTTTTTTTTCTCAAAAACCTTTTAAAGGGGTAAGAAGTTAGGGGGTTATTAAGACCCCTGAAGAGTGACCCTTTATCACTCTCTTAAATTTGAGTAATTCCAAAATAATATTAACACTTCTTGACTAGAAAAGAAAAAACAAGGAACATGCCGCAAGAGGAGCCTCTCCAATAATAAATGCAAAGCAGCTGTCAAAATATAGAGTCAAATGATACTTTCATAAAGTGCTTGCACAATTAGAAAATGTTATCTTTTTTCTAAGGAGAAATGGAACATTTTTATTTTCTCTGCTAAGTGAAATGCAACTTTTTGAAGAATCAACATGCTTGACATTTTTACAATGTACATAAAGAACTGAACTATCATTAAAACAACTTACCCACTCTATTGCATGTAACTTTTGAGAAGATGAAAAGAACTTTAAACAGAATGCCTGTGAAGCTTTACTTTAGAAATGAAATACCCAAAGTGTTTTAACTACAACTATCTGCATGTAATATTGTACCTGCATAATGATTTTGTAAATATTAACTGCAATTCTATATTTGCTTTCTTCATATGACTTTTTACATTTAAACTTATACTATTTCTGTCTACTTTTTTCAAAAGTTCAATTTTTACTTTTGGAGGTTGGGTTGGTCGGAGGGAAAGGGCAATCAGATCAGTAGTTCTGTCCCTCATTCCACTCCCCCATCACCCAGCTATTCTCTGTATCACTCTACCCTGTTTATTTCTTTCACATTATTTATCAGTTTGCCCTAATCTTGTTTTGTTTGTTGTCTTCCTCAATATTGGAAGTAGTCATGCTTCGTGAGGACAGGGATTTTGTCTTCTTGTGTTCATTTACTCACTTAAACACTTGCCGAGAGCTACTACATGCTACTAGATACACTTCACTAAGTAGTAGGGATACAATGTGAGATATATGTGTTTCTAGCCCTTGTGTAATTCGTATTCTATGCAAAGGATATATAAGTGAAATTAACCAAAGCTTTTTTCATTTATCTTTCTTCTTCCCATTCTTTATCAGATATTTGAACTACTGGGCCGTTTAATGTTCATTAAGTTAAGAAAGGGTGTGATATCAGAAAGCAGAGGAAAGCATGTTCTTTTGAGTTTCAAAAATCTAGCTCCTTGGGGAACTGGAAAGGATTTATTATTTAGATCAAATATTTGAGAGCACATATAATGAGGAAGATGAGGCTTTCTTACACACTGTCTAGAAAATAATTCCTCTGGCTGTGGGGAGGAGAAAAAAGAACAAAATTGTTGGTAGGGCTCAGGGAAAGGGACCTATGCTTAACCTTCTGGACCAAGTTCCAGAGAGCAGCAAAACCTCAATTAGATTTGTCCCCTAGAATGGACATGATTATGTGGTGTGTTTAGGCAGTGGGACCTTGGACAACTCCAGTGAGCTTCCTTCAGCCCAATGTGGTCCACACTGGAGGATTA